AGCCGTTTTCAACACTGTATCAGTTAACCCTGCTCTGAGGAGGGTTAATTGACACAGTGCTGCAAATGGCTGATGAGATGAAAACTCTCCTATTATGGCTCCCAGCATCCCTAACAAGTGTGCAGCTGCATTCGTACTAGCAATGGTGGGAATTTGGAGGAGGGAGGAAAATTCCCAAGTGTAGACAAGGCCTGAGAGTGAGCCTTAATGTTCCTTTCTGGGTCTTGTTTGTCAGCTGAGGATACGCTTCCCTGCAGCATTACCCCAGCCATCTGCACGTTGCTGATTTCAGAGCAGCAGCCTCTTTGGTTCCATCAGCTGCATGAAAGGAAAAGTGTGGAAAAACTGCAGTTTTCCCTGGCCCACCTAATACATGCACTGGAGGTTCCTGTGTCCAAGCTCTTCCTTCTGTCCATTCAGAAAGCACCAGTGAAAATGAGAATTATCTTTTTCCACCAATACACATATCACAGAATGTAATTCTCCTGAGAGGAGTGGTCTTCTAGAAACAGAACAGCATTATTCCCAGCTTCTCAGTACCCAGTGTAGCATTTAACTAGGTAAATATCTTTAGCTGCTACTGTGAACCACAACAGTGAAAGACCTAACACTACACTCTACTCTTACACTTAGGGTATCCTCTAAAACCAGTAGAGTCAGGCTAAGGAACTCTCTGAGGAGTGCTGATCTATGAGCTCAAAGAAGGATTGAGGAAATGGGCAGAAAAAAAAATCTTCTAAATGGAAAAGAAAAAAGAAGAAAGTGAAAGCTTTGCTGCTACCCTGAGGCAGGGCCTTAAAATTGCTGTTATTGCTATCTCTTTGCTTGAAGTAGGTTGTACTTAGTGAGAAGCTGGGTGGAAAAACTTTGGGCTCCTTTGAGCAAAAGAGTGATGTGGCCTCACCAACGCACACCTGCATGTGTGGTGAGCAGGCACTTAAAAAAACAGACACACACTTACTATCACATAGACAACACTGCAGACCTCGAAGGAAATGCTGCAGCTTGAAAAGTGTTCTTTCCTTGTGTGATATGTTGCCAGTTAAGACCACATGAGCCCCCACACTTTCATAGGTGGGAACTATAATTATCTATAGGTTATCTTACAACTCCCTGTGACTGTGCACAGCATGAGCCTGCTGACTTACAGGATGTGGTTCTTCTGCTTCCACAGGCTTTTGAAAAAGGAGGTAAATGAAAAAGTGAGCAAGAGAAGGAGGTTCTTTGTTGCTATTTATAATCTCTGTTATTTTCTGACTGTGATTTCTTTCTAAAAGATACTATGGTGCAACTTGAAAATCTATGTTCTTAGGCAAATGCTATTGCTGCTACTAAACTGCATGATTGAATAAGATTCACTCTAAGTACAGAACAAGGTGGTATTAGGTCAAGTCTACCAATACAAGCTATGCTATCAACTACGGAACAAGAAATGATCTTTTTATAAGTGTTCTTGGTGAAGTAACAAAGTCCCTATACTACTGGGTGGAATACTAAACAACATCAAAATTATCTTGCAATGATACATTGCAAGAAAATGGTCTTGAGTCTACTCTGTGTCACTTGGCCTGGTTTCTTTAAAACAGATGACCTTGAGATGCAACCACTTCTGAGTTGGAGTAGTACCTTGTAACCCCCTTCTTGCTCCAGTTGCCAGAAGATGAAAGAAGGGTTGAAGATGGGCCATAATTCCAGTTTCCAACTTGGTATCTACTCTCCCATTCCTCCCCAAAAATGCAAGAACAGACCTAATTCAACAGATTCACAGAAATGAGGGTGTGAGGTAGAGGGAGGTAGGAAGGTCTCTCAGGGAGGAGATGGTCTCCAGCACCATCTTGTGCCTCAGTCTTTACCACTGAATAACATCTTCCAGGGACATATTCCAGTTCAGCTATGGGTCTGTGTAGTGGAAAGAGAGGAATCTACTACACCTATATTTAAACATTTCTGTCACCTTGTACAAAAGATGTACTAGCAATGTGAAAAAATTGGTGAAGACTTCAAATGGCACTTTCTTGCTTGAGCTGCTCCTGGTTTTCCCACCTATAATGTGGGATGTCCCTCTGTAAAGCATTTGTCATAGCACCCCTCAACATTTCTCTGGCCTGACAAACCTGTAAATAGCCTAAGACAATCTTTAGGTCAGAGGAGCTTTAAGGGGTAAGCAGAGTTCCTGAATATTTTGTAAGATATATAACTGTTGAATTGTTGAATTCCACGCTGACATTGAAATCATCATGCATGGAAAAAAAAATCTCTTAATCCTATAGGAAGTTTCTTTAAGTTTACTGTAGAAAATCTCCAGAATTTTTAGGCTTAAGGAGAGTAGAAACCAGGCCTTCCTTTATATTTATGAAATGCCTATCTGGCTATGGGTGCTCCCAGAAAATAATAACAACGTTGACAATTAATACTTCTGTTGACAGACCAAAACTTAAATATCAGCCCAAAGCTGGTGGAAAGTAGGTCATCTCTACTCCTGTGGCTTCACAGTATGAATTTAATGAATTATACAGTTAAACTCACGAGCGTTTGCTCTAGATGGAACAGTAATCTTAAAAGAGGTTGGCCTGGGACTGCTGAAGGAACAGTTACCGCATCTCTTTCTTGGGGAAGAATCTGGAACAAATCCAGGAGGTGGTTGCTTCCACTAGCCACTTCAGGACTTTCTCAAGTCTGGATGCTGTATTGTTTACCTGTGTTAAGGTATCTAGGTATGAGCTAGTTGTTGATTAGTCTGAGGGGAAAACAAAGTTTCAAATGAGTGACAAACCCATAGCCATTTAGGTCCCTGATGATAAAGCTAGGATTTTGCTGGTGCTAATTCATGCTAGTGAATTTGCAGGCAGATACCCCTAATGGGATGAGCAGTCTCTGGTGCTGGGCCCACTGCAAGTGCTGAGACCTTTCCTGCCCCGAGCAGCTTTCCAGCAGTAAGTTTAGAGCATTGCTCCCATGTGAAGATTAGCTGCTTATGGCTGTATGTAAAAATCTTTGGACCATAGTGTTGTTACTAGAACTACTCAAGGAAAGACTAATGGAACTATTAATAGCCCATATGGGATGAATCTGTAGAGACAGCAGTTTTGGCGCTACAGGCTTTTAGCAATAGCATGTACCACTGTCTTCCAGAGACATGAATGTGCTTCAAAGAGATTAATGGATGTTATAAAAATTATTTGCTGCTACGCTTTAAACTATAGACTTTACAATCTCCGCTTGGAATCTTGCTCTCATGCAGCAGCTTAACCTTTCGATGCACAGAATGGATGCAGGGACCTTCAGATGTCTTCACGGTGTGATGGGAAAGCAGTATTTTTCAAAGTAGAGTTGGGACTATAAGACTGGTTTTTTTGATAGCTATGAGATTTAACAGGTGGACTGCATCCATGTTCCATAGCTGGTTGCTTAAGAGGAATGGGGGAAGCAGAGCTTAGGAAAGCTCACGACTGGATTAGGAACACTAAGGGAATATTTTCAGCCTTAAGAAGTGTTCTAGGATTTCTCTTTCTTTAGACCATCTGTCTGCAGAGTTTTTCTTTTCTTCTTCCACAGGAAGGTCTCTCAGCTGTCCCCTCAGCACACTGTTCACTCTTCAGCTCTTGCATATGTTTGATTGGAGTAACTCTTGCCTGATTATGTCTCTTCATCTATCCACAGGCAGTTAAGAACTGAGATAATGTATCTCCATACATGGTTGGATGTATCTGGCCGGCCAGTGCAAGAAGTGTTGCACCAACAGGGCTGCCCACTCGGCAGTTCTATAGGATAATGTAATCCCTTCTGTTTCCTCCTCAGGGCTCTCTTGTGCCTATCCAGAGCAGGGGGAGCGGGAGCGAGAAGCAAGTCGCAGAGGCGGGTGCCTTAGCCAAGGCCCGAGGCCTTGAGGGCGATGAGGGGCTGGGGAGGATCCCGGCCGCCCGTGGGGCGCAGGGGGCTCCTTTGGGGCACGCAGACGCCAGGCTCCCCGCGGGCCCTTGCATGAGCAGCACTCCTTGTGCCGCGGTGAAGCGAGGTCTGCGCAGGGCAGGATCCGAGCCCAGAGGCGGGAAGGCACCTGGGGACACCCTTGGTAAGACCCGCAGCTCAGTGGTGCTCGTAGGGCCACGGCGGGGGGAGGGTTTCTCAGGAGCCGCGTCCCGTGGGAGAGGCCCCGGCCACCCCTCAGCCCG